TGACGGCGGCCGCGGACGCGGCCGTTTTGGCGGGAGGGGTGGCGGTTATGGCGGGAGAGGGGTAGGCAATGGAGGCGGCGGGCGTGGTGGTTATGGAAGGTTCGGTGGAGGGTATGATGTTGGGAGAGGCGGCGGGAAGGGTGGCGGTTATAGTGGTGGTTACGGTGGTGGTCGTGGCGGGGGGGAGTGCTACAATTGCGGCGGATTTGGGCATTTGGCTAGGGACTGTATTCAGTACGGCGGCGGTGGTGGCGGTGTTGGAAGATTTGGTGGCGGTGGTCGAGGATACGGTAGCCGTGGAGGCGGTGGTGGCCGTGGGTGTTATAATTGCGGAGAGGAAGGGCATTTGGCAAGGGAATGTCCTAATGATCTGAAGTGAGAATTTGGGTCATGTTCTATTGGGTGGCTTGGCTTTGGATGTGGGTGTATAGGTCTCTGTGGTTTCCCACGCTTTTGGGTGCTTGCTTGGTGATTGCTCTTGGCGTATGAAGAAAGGAGGGCTCTTGTTTGTCACCAATGTGTTCTTAATTTGGGTAATTTTTTATTCGTTTTTGCATGATTTGGTGGTATGTGGGTGATTGTTTTTGCATATATTAGATGGTAGTTTTCTCGTTCTAATTCATTGTTTCTCCTCATTTTTCATACCTATTCTTCTTGTTGTTCAATATGAAATCAATGATCATGTTTTGGTGTCATTTGCCACTTCCCTTTATGTTTAATTATTTTTCATTCTTCTTGCTCTGTTTCGAGATGGATTATGTTGTTGGTTTTATAAAGATTTGATGACTTTTGAGTATCTATAGTTTGACACCAAAGTACCAATTTGATCTTTCTTCCTTCCTTCCTTGTGGGTATCTCTGAGCAACAAAAAGATGGTCCTTCCTTTTGAAAGGGACATTCACCTGTTTTGCACTTCTCATTTTTTCTGGTTTCAGTTGTGGGTGTAGTATTTTGTCCTTTGCAATCTTTATATTGCTGTAGATCTATTTTTTTCTGGTTGCTTGCTGCTTAAATTATATCGTGAGTTATCGTCAACTTAATGGCGGCAACATGCTCATCAAGTCAAGTCATCTTATCCACTTCCCTGAAAAGAACAAGAACCATGTCATACACCCTATCCTAGTTGATAATCCATGAGAGGTTGATATTTCACAGTTCAAGATTGCATTTCCCCCTTTCGGCGTGATCAACATCTTTTCGAAATGTCTTCATCGCGCGTCACTTGTTTCTAAACTCGTCCTTTACAGTCTTGATCTTCCATGTGGTGTCCTCTTTATCTCCCACTATTCACTTTTGTAGAGGGTAACAAAGATGCATCCCCATGTGTTTATATCTATGAAAGTAGAGTGCATAAGTGAGAGGTTATTTGTTTCATGTGTCAAGAACAATTGCTTTAGGGAATGTTCTGCCAAAACAGCCTCTCTGAAAATTAAAGGTATGGCTGCATATTTCTTGCCCTCTCCAAACCCCATATTGGCAGGAGAGCCTTGTGCATTTGGCCACCCTTTCTTTTCTAATTGTTATTATTGGTTGGTTGATCAAAAATTATGACCCTCATTTCATTACCAAGTTCAACCAGAGATAGGTACATGTTTCGGATCATAATAACCAACTTCATTAAGAGATTTGATTGTCAGTCAAAGAGCTACTTATCAAGATGTTCTTTCGAAGATCACTAAACAATTAGCTTGAAATTGCCCGTTGAAGCCTCACTTGTTTTCTCCTGTTCTGATCCCTTGTGTGGTGTCCTTTTTGCTGAAAACAGAATTGCGTTTGATCGTTGTTCTTGCTAGTTACTCTACTTTCTTCTCGTCATCCAATTGATGTTGTGAGCGTAAACAAAATGAGAAGTAATAAAAGATGGGAATATTTGGTGAAGATCTGTCTCTTTCATTGTGCTTAGAGGCTCTTTCCTTTTCAAGATATTAGTTCATCGTGCATCTATCTACCACAGCCATATTATGAAGGGGCGCTAGAATGTCTCAAATTCTAAGCTGGCTAAATTCTTCCTCGCTTTTGAATGCTTATACGGCTTGGAATTGTTTGATTGATGATGAAGAAGAAGGGTATTATCTAATCACGGGGACTTTTGTTTGATGTATCACTCAGATCGGCCATGAACGCTCATAGGTTTTTTTTCTTTTCTTTACGAAGCGATATTTTAAATTACTCTTAATTTACGAGGAGGGGACCTAACCCACATCTCTACTTTTCACATTTCTTTTACTAAAAGAACACATGCAAATATGCGAGTTTGAGAGAACAAGGATTGGTTTTTTCTTTTCCTTCATCGGATAAGGCTAAGCAAACCAAAACACAATCCAAATGTCTGGGTTGAATGGCCCAAAACAGATTACTAGATTACAGGACTGACCAAGAAGCCATGGCTCACCAAGTCGAACCAACAAGAAAGCCCTCTCCAAAAGGTCCAGAACCTTTTTTTATTTAAAGGTCCAGAACATTATCTATAAAACAATAGATCTGAGGTCAATGAAGTCTAGTTCAGTAGAAAAAGAGCTTTAACATGCAGACAAGAGGTCTCAAGTTCGAACCCCTAAGACATTTTAGTTGTGTGTTAGTATATGAGAAATCCCCCTACCCTATAATTTAGACTATCGCTTGTGCTATAAAAAAAGTCAATAGATCTGATATTGGTCAAAATTTAAAACAAGATATGTGAAAAAGGAGGAAAAATAGAAGAGAGAAGAAAGGAAAGGAGGGAGAAATGAAGAAAAATGTTTGAAACAAAACTTGAAAAGAAAAACTATTTGAAATTGCTTTTTTACCTTTCATTTTTTGTAGCATTCTATTATACTTTCTCCTCCCCCATTACTCTTGCATGCCTTGTCCTTCCTATTCCCTTCTTTCTCATACCACCCCTTTCTTCAACTGAAAAACCAAAAACTGAGAATAAAAAACGAACTTGTTAGCAAACCAACCCTAAATTTTTATTTAGAATCTGATTAGAAACTGGACAGAGTTGAGCAGTTGGCTGGCAGGCCCATTCCCAGCCCACAGAAAAGCTGGTTTAAAAGCAACAGCGGTGATTTTAACCACGTTCAATGGGGTCGGTCGGTCACTCTCACTGTGAAGCAACTAAGCTAGAAATGAATCACGCAAAACTTGCAAGACCAGAGAGTGGGAAAGCTGCAATCACATTGTCAAAGACAAAGACAGGTCCTGGAGGAGCAATATCAAACTCAGTACAGTATAAAAGTCGGCAGCCTTTGCCTTTATATCTCACCCTCACCAGAAACTTCCATTGGAGGGAGGGCCCTACTGATTTTGACCAACACCCTACCTTCCCCCACTCCCTAATCTATTGGGAAGAACTTGTATATCACGAGATAACATTGTTTTGCTATTTTCTTAAAAAAATTATTAAACGTGACGAAATATGACTGATTTGGGATATCAAAACAATGTTATTCCCGTGATATAAAAAATTTTCGCCAATCTATCAGCATGAGCCTGAGGTCCCCTTTTCCTCTCTTAAGGAGATAAAGAAGGGGGTTGAAGCCTGGCAAGATTGACACAATCCCAATCTTTCTAACTAGTGTAGTGAACTTTTGGTCACCAAAGCCCTGAAAAGGCTCTGACTTCTGGTCAAACACACTTGGGTTGGATCCAAGCACCAGAATGTGAAGAGGGTCCAAGCCAAAGTTTCAGTAAGTTCCAGCCATGTGGTGACACATTTTCTTCCCTGCAGAGATCATAGGACCCCCCACACACGTTGTGCCTTATCTTACACTGTTAACTTGCTGGACCCCCCTCAAGATTTTGATTCTGTTTTCACAAGCTTACAACTTGAATGCCTACAAAACTTTTGTTAATGCCTTAATGGGTTGATTTGATTTCCAGTTTCAACCCAGAAAAATTCATCTCTTTTAAGTTGTTAAACTGAAACTGATGGGGTTTCAATTGCCTAGTCAAAAGCATTTTCTCAGTGCATATATGGGCAGATGCAATGATTTTTTGGAGATGCAGAAAAACAAAAAATAAAAAATAAATAAAACATTCCCATGACAAGTCCTCATCTTGGAAAGTTCTAAGCAAAAATTAGGTCCCCACCTTAAAACCCACACTGTATATCTCATCTGAGTTATGAGTTAGGAGGAGCTACCTTTTTCTTTTCCCTTGCCTTCTCTTCTAATCAATCATATTTCTTTGGCAAAAGTCTAAAAGACTTATATTCCTTTTTTGAGTTTCATAGGCATCCACTTTGCTGCTTTCATGACTTTTGCATTTCCCACTTTATATTATGCATTTTCTTTCTCAGTACCAGAGAGATATTTATGCCATCAATCCCAGGGCCCCCAATTCTTTGCTCTATGTATGGGTTATGGAACCCACCTGACCTTATGGTATCAATTTTCAATTGTGGCCAATTTCTTGGGTCACAAACCAGAAATGTATGTAGCTTTTTTTATGATTTTTTTTTAATACAAACAAGCAATAGTCTAAACTATAAAGGGAAAGGAAGTTCTTCACATATACACTACCAAAGTATCATAGGAGTTCGTATCCAAAACCATTAATCTATAAATTAAAATTCTTTTTCATTGAGTTAAATGCCGTCGGGAAGATATTATGTAGCGCTAAAAATTATTCAATAGGTGGCTGGTTAATTGAACCGTAGTAGGCAACCTATCCTATGCAATGATGTAAAGCTGATTAGACCAAGGCTAAGATTGTTCCTGGTCATATGTCATATATATGGGGCTATGCCGGGGCTATAGGGCCTACGATATTTCCTTGATTTGGTTGGTCAAGACTCAAAATCAATCTTGACCAATGTGTTATGATGGACCAATTAGATTTCTTCTGATCCTTGATATGAACATGTCATTCGAGCTTGGGCCTACTAACTATTTCTTCGCTTTCTCTATCAAAGAAAACTTGTGTACGAAAAACTCATGAGCTTCACATTATTAATTCAGGTGTTCAAACATAAATGGGCGACAAAATTGATATTTCATGAAATTATAGTGTAATGTAACATGAGTAGATTGATAATACTACAGTATTGAAGGATTTCATTGTCTTTAAAAATATTGTAATGTCAGTGAAATCACAGTTGTGCACCACATGATGTGATAAGTGATGCACATATAATTAATACTCAGTGAGATAAAATCATTAACACACGTTGATCTCCCTTATCTTTCAACCGAATAGTTCTGCCATGTAGCACGGCAACATGACATGTAACCTTACAGAAGTAAGGCCAATAATTTATGTTCCATTGGCCTAGTTCTGCCAATGACTAGGTGATTGAAGTTCTCCAACTGATTTGCTAAATCTTTGTCGTTTAAGGCATGTACACACAGAACACATCAAATTAGGCAAAACGACTGATTGACATGCAATGATACAAAGTAATTCAATTAAAGCACATCAGAGTTAGGCCTTGACAATGCCATATATGGGACCAGCAAATTCAATCAACCTTTGCAGCTGGACGGACAATCACATCTGCTTATTATGCAGCAGCATGCTAATGTTTCTCACGCAAAGTCTACACAATTTCAAAGAGTACCACATGAGCCTTTCTCACCCAATCAACACACACAGAGCTTGCAATTGAGGTTGATTTGGGTGCTCAAGAACCTAACTGATACTATGTGGAAAAAAGTGAGCTCAAAGATAGCCTTTTTCACCCAATAAACACACAAAGAGCTTGCAATTGAGGTTGATTTGGGTGCCTGATACTATGTAAAAAAAGTGAGCTCAAAGATAGCCTTTTTCACCCAATCAACACACACAGAGCTTGCAATTGAGGTTGATTTGGGTGCCCAAAAACCTAACTGATACTATGTGGAAAAAAGTGAGCTCAAAGATAGCCTTTTTTCACACCTTGTGGCACATTCAGATTGGCACTCATGGACCAGTTTTAGACTCTTTCACTATCAACTCCCCAGCAGGATATCAAAGTTGTAAGAGAAGTTGTAGTTTATGACCTACCTCAAGTGGTTAAGAGTGTTTATCCTTGCACCTTAGGTCCGATGTTCGATTCCCCGCTCCCCTAATCTCGCTTGTATGAAAAACAAACGTATAATATTTTGGAAGAATAAAGAAAAGAATTACAATCATTCCTAGAGAATTTCAACCTTAATTAACTAGATAGAAATATGTCGAGTCTATAAATTAACTCCCACAAGAGAAAACCAGGGGACTTGCATTTCTTAATTAAAAGAAGACTAATTAATCAACACACAAGGTACAAATGTAGGTCCGTATAAAGGTTGGCCATGATAATTGCCATCACACCTTTTTTTCTTTCTGAAAACCATCAACAATAGATCTTACAAGAGGAAAAAAGGGCGAAAAAAAAAGTTAAGAGGGAAAAAAAAACAAATCAAGTAAGAAAAGAAAGGTTTACAAATGCCAATCTCTTTACACACTTACATATGTATCTTTTAAATTGTTAATAAAAACTTTCTGGAAAGTAGGGGGAATCTACTCATGCTTTGTGTGGGGGGCATTGGTAGCACTTGGTGAATAGACCAAATGTGTCGACTTGTCGTATGAAGTTGAGCATGCTTGCCCACCCTCCAAACCCAAATCCCACTATCAAAACCCAAACCACCACAAAGCTGTTAATGGCGTATGAGCCAGCCCACCCTCCCAACAATGATGGTGGTCTCTCTACAGCATTCTGTGTGTCATCAAAAACAACAATGAATATATCAGAAACTTATACCTGGGACAATTTGACATGTTATGCTACCAGACTGTGAATTGGATCCTAAATTCAGTAGATTCTTGTTTGAATGTATAGTCAGTCTAACAACATAACATGCTGGATATTTCAAGTAGGAGAATGTTACCCTCCTTAATTAGCAATTAGTTCATCCCAGTGAAAATTAAAAGTGGACTAACCTCTCTAGCAGATGCAGAAGCAAAGGTGACCATGTGAGCTAAAGCAGGAATTATGTAGACAGTAAAGCTGACAAGAAGAGATCCAACAGTTGAGTTGATGGGCCCAAAGAATGGGAATATGATAGCAAGGAACCAAATTGGGATCACCACTGGGAGCCTAGCCAGGGCCCTCTTCAACATGCTCTTGGTCTCATGCATTTGAATGAATTTCTCCCACACAAAGTACAAAGGGGTGCAAGCAAATCCAAATGTGATAAACTGTGCACACCAACCAAATCATTAATTAACAATTAGAAATCCCATTTTAAGTCACTAAATCAAATTGGTTTTGGTTGTTAATTAAGAAACTGTTGATTTAGTACCTGATGGATGAGCATGAGCACAACAGCAGTATCTCTAAATCCAGTCCTTGGAAGCAAAGCTAGAGCATTGGAATGAGTCAAGAGATTGTCCCCAAAAGCCCAGTAAACAGCAGAAGCTGATGGCAGAGTTAAGGTCAGCACATAGAGTGTGGCCATCAAGTATATCAACTTGAATTTCTGTGGCTTCCACATTGCATGCATAATCTCCCTACACAACACACAACCAATCCCAGATAATCAAATTCCAGTTAAAACCCAAAAATTGCAACAGCTTCCTCTGTTCTTGGATATTAATTAATTTTCATAAAGCCCTCACACTGTAACAGCATGTCCACCAAATGTATAGAGAATGTTGGTAGCTCCAGTGAAGTAGAGAACCATTGTGGTTGGACCAGAGTGCTTCACTCCCTCAACCTTGGGGGGCACAAAGAAAAATATTAGATTGCAACCTCTGTATGTGATTTTTTTGGAGATCTAAATTAAGCAGCGATCGCAAAGGACCCCTAGGCAAGGTCTTAGGTTCGAGTCTTAGCATCCGTGTAGTGTATGTGAGTTTAGTATATTATCGCCGTCCTAAAAAAATTAAGCAGTGATCAAATCTAATTGAGGGATGTAATTAATTAATAGGAGATATAGAATCTACCTTTCCGTGGATAAGGGAAGCAATGGTGAGATACCAAGCAGTGTAGGTGGTCATAATGAGGCCCAAGAATGACCAAATTCTGTAATTATGGAAGGAGGGGATGAAGACAGTTGTAGCACAGCAAGCTCCGAAGATATAAGTCCAAGTCCTCTTGTCAAGATTGTCGTTTATGTAGTAGATGTTACTAAGATCAAAACAAAAACACAAAGACAAACCAAATTTTATTATCTAATTCTTTTCTACATATATTATTTATAAAATGAAATAATAATAAATAAAAAATAAAGTATTTACCTTGCACAGGCAATTAACTGAATTACAGATCCGAACAGAAGAAAAGTGCAGTTGAAAAAGAGGCCAACATTCCTCCAGTGCTTCCCCAGCAGCCCATCAAGAACTTCAAACCACTGCCAAGATTTATAATAATCAATGTTTATAAAGAAACTGGAATTATAATTATATATAGCATTAGTTTTTACAAAATTAATGGAGGAAGATTATATACCTGAATTACATGGTTCCTAAAATCAACCTTTTCTCTTTCCTTTCTAGTTCTGTACTCAACATAGAGCAGACTGATGAGGTAAGCAGTCCAGCTTCCCATCAAGCCATAGAAAAGCTGAAATAGAATCCCAGATAGCAAACCCAGCTGTGAAAATGAGTATGGCAGTGTGAGAAGCACTTGGGCAACCTGCATTAAAAATTCCATTAAAACCAAATTAAGATATATAATTATAATTAGGTAAACACATCAAATACACAGTTATATTAACACAAATGATAAGATATGTAAAACTAAGAAGTTTGGTAAATAATATTAAATATGTGCCTGATTAGAAGCACAGCTAAACCAAGCATCATAAGCAGAGCCACCATCCCAAAAGAACTTGGAGAGCTTGCTCTTGACGCTCTTGGGCTTCCCTTCTCTTTCCATTTCTACGTAGCTTCCGGCTATAACAGTCTCAACCTTCTCAGAAGCCATTGTTATAGCCTTGGTGGTGGTGGTGTGGGAGGAAGCAATGGATGAGTGTATGAGTAGTCTATAAATAGATAGAGGGAGTGCTCCTTTTTCACTATACTATTTCCACTCCTTAAGCTTAACCTATATGTGTGTATATCTTATAGCACCACTTCGCTTTTTTGTAGAACTCTTTAATTTTTATGAGCAATAATTGAGTCACCCAAGTGGAGACCTAGCTACATCATCACCCTAATTAGCCCTTAGGAATGTCATTGCATATATGATATATGCATGAATATTATTTAACCAATAGTATTTCAAATCCCCTATATTCTATTTCCAAGTTATGGGAAAAAAATAAATTAACAGACACATGTCACCCAACATAGTAAGTGTCTAAAATGTGTATCGACCCGTATAAACTACATTCGACCATATATTCTTAACTTAGCTACATATTTAATTTCAGTTTTATTAGATCTTTATCTCATTGTGTTTTTTTTTTTTGGTCAAAATTTATCTCATTGTGTTGAGGTTAAGATTCATTGGTACCACATGGGATTTACTTTATTTCTTCCTAAATTTTGATTTTATATTTGTTATTTGGACATGGAAAAACTGTTGATGGGCCATGCTTAGTATGCATTGCACGAGCGGGGTGGCCCATGCATGATGCATATGGATGGACGGATGGATGATGTTGAATCTGTGTAGAGAAAAGTGAGGTAAAGAAGAAGATCTGTGTTTATACAGAAGGGTGTGGAAGGTGGATGAAAAAGTTGTAGGATTATAAGAAGTGCTGTTTTTGTGTGGATTTGAGTGTGAGTGTATGTGCGGGGGGAGCCCATAAGATGGAGTGAATGATTACTTTGAGGTGGGCTTGGTGCTAAACATGATTAGCACCACACGTGTGTGCCAACTGGCTTTACAAAAAGAGATCTAAAAATCCCCTTTACCCCTTTTTAAAAAAAGTTTAGGTCCCTAAAGGGTTCTTTGGGCCATTGATTCAGCTTCTAAATAATGGGATTAATCAAGTGTCTTTGCAAATCCCAGTTTTGGTGGTGGTATATATTATTTTTTTTAGTACAAATGATAGTCTATGCTATAATGAAAGGGGATTTCTCATACATAGATAATTAAGGTGTCATGAGAGTTCGAATCTATCTGAAATCATTGGTATGCGTAAGTCAAACTCCTTTTCCACTGAACCAGACCTCAATAACGTAAATCAAACATCTTTTCCACTGAATTAGAACTCATTCACATGGTGATAAAATTTTAAATTAGGTTAGTTGGAGCATCTTTTCTATACGTAAACACTAAAAAGTTTATGCAATCTATCCAGCTTCATAATTTTGATCCCACCAAAATTTTATTTTCCCTTTAATACGCCAACCACTATGTCTGAAGGTGTGAGGAAAAGTTTATTTGGTCATTTACATCATTAATGAATAAATACAAAGTTAAGTTAATTCCAACGTTTGACTGATAATGGACCAGGGTGGCAAGGACGCCGATTAGCTTGTGGCACTGGCAACCCCATTTGGCCCAACGTTATCTAGGATTAGCTTAATCTAATACGATTCTTGGGAGCTTTCTACCTACCCTTGGACTCATTACTTCAAGCCCTTGTTTAGTAGTTTGGCATGAAGTTAACTATTTCAATCAAATTAACTAATCTCCTTGTTTATGTTTGGAGAATTTATAAATATTAGGATTATATTTATTAAATTTGACAATAGTCCAATATAGCGTCGGACAAGTCTCGTTTAGATTTAGAAGAATGAGACTCATTATAACTAGTTTGGAATTAATTTCAATTCAGTCCAAACCGAACCACTAAATGAAGTCAATGAGCATATAACAATCCAAATAGAATAAAGATTCAAAACTTTTGCTTTATTTCTCTTTAAGTCATGTAATAATTCAGATGAATGGTCTTAAAAATCTTTCTATTTAAGAATTTATTTGAAGACACAAAAATCATGCTTTTTTTGGGGTAAACTTGGATGGTCATTTTCATCATATGTACTAGATTATGATATTGGTGAGTGATTACCTAACTACTACCTGTTTAAAGGGAGTGGCCCGAGTAGGTCTAGGCCTAAAGTCTAACCCCACCCTGCATATGCAAAACTTTAAGAATAATAGACACTTTGGGGTGACTAAAAGTTGGGGCCAAAGAGCTTCCAAAAGGATAAAAAAGCAACTAAATAACCCACCTTTTGACTTGGTTCATATGCTTAGAGATATATCGTTATCTCATTTTCCTAAAGAACATTTTGCATAGTTTTGGATTTGTTTGGACGTTGAGAAAATATATGTTCCTTTAAATGTAAGGGTGGGAAAAAAGAAACCGATCACATTGTTCAAACTGACAAAAATCAATCAATCTTGAAAGTTTGATTTGATTTTTAATTATAAACAATGTAATCTTGTACTGAATGAAATCACACTGTAATTAAATATGTGTTTCTTCACCATTTACTATTATGTTTCTTCACACATATCATTGATATCAACCTATTATATCATTAGATTTTTAGTTTGTTATTTTAATGAAATGTTGAATGTTGTTAGGAGGTTATAGATATAGGAATTAAAATGTGGGTGTAATATTGGTTTTATGGCAAGAAATGTTTGATGAGTTTGTTTCGACTTTTAAGTATAAAATTGTTTTTTTTTTTTCATTTCGGGTGCTTGTTAGATGTAGAAAGTGTGTAAATGCAAGTTTAGAAAAATGAAACACTAAAGAAATGATTCGGTTGCAGATATAGGCTTAGTAAAGTTGGCTAGAGTGGATGTGCTCCCCACTTTGTACCTGAGTTCAAATCTCCCTATTCATCGTTTAGATTAGTTTAAAGTAGATTATCCCTTGTCAAAATAAAAATAAAAATTCTACGGTGATTGAGCTAAATTGCTATAAAAAATGCAAAAAAGGGCAAAAAAGAAAGTGTGTTGGGCTCAAGCCCAAACCCAATATTGATGGTTTCTCCAATAATTTAGGCCTAGGGCGACAGCACCAACCTAGCCCATTTGATATCAACGTGACCCGAATTTAACGGGAACCGGCCAAATAAACATGAGCTTGGCCCATTTAAAATCAGCATGGCCCAATTAAACATCTGTCGTCTCCCTCATTTAAACTCTTGCCGCCGGAGACTGCGGCTCCAAGCCTATCTCAGTCGTCAGTCCTCGACGGCGCCATTCTCCTCCGCCGATTCAAGCTGATATTCAATTCCAGCTGAGGTCTTGCTTCTTGGGTTTCTCTCATTTTCTGTTCTTAGTGTTGTTTTTTCTTGCTGTCTGCTTGTTTGGTTTCGGAAAAATGCAGGAAAATAATCATTCACCAAGAAAGAAAAACATGAAAAGACATTTCAATTTCAGATTTCCAATTTGGAGAGGTTGAAGAATTGGCATAGATTTTTTTTTTTTAAAGAAAGAAAAAAGATAAAAGACAAAACTTTACTAAATCATGCCTATGGCAGCTTAAACCTTTATTAATGTCAAATTTTCCCTTCAGTTTTCTGATCAAACAAACAGTAGGACAATTGCTCATTAATTTTTTCCTGTTTTCCCTTTTCCTTTCCACCTGTCCTTAAGGAAACTGTTGGCCAGTTCCAGTAGTAACATGTGGAAGGAATCTGAATTCTGAATTAAGATTTCTGATCTTGGAAGTTAAATCTTTTAAAAATGGTGTCTTTCTTTTGAAAGTAAAGTAAAGGAGTTGATAGTTTTTTTTTGTACCAAAAGTGAAATAGGTATCAATAGTTTCTGCAAATGGGGAATTTTCAGATTAATTTAAACTTTGATGCTGGTCCAAAAAATTTATGGGAAACGAAAAGTAGAAACAAGTATAGGGAACCTAGATAAACTTGCAGGAAAGGGTTAGGAAAGGAATCAGATTAGCTAGCATTGCCCAAAAAGCTTCCGTTGAATTGCTGCTACTGCTTTGGTTTTACTAGTCCTTTCTCCACACGTATTCTTCTTCACCCTCTTGTTTTATAAGTGGATGTTGTAAACTGTACAAGAGCAATTCATTCATGGTTCATCTAAACCAGTCCTCTTAAAGTGAGATAGACAAAGAAAGAAAGGGAGAGAGAGAGAGGAGAGAGAGTTAGTAAGAAAAATGGCAGCGCATCTCAATGTGTTCTTACCAGTTTTATTGGTTTTTATGGCCATTTCATCAGGTATTCTTTATCATAGCATTCTTTGTGGTTTAATCTTTCTCTTAGAATAGCGTATGGATAATGACATTGATGAGAAACATATATACTTTTTACATGTAGATAAACCATTAACCTTAGAGTAAAAATCATAATGGCCAAAACTATTAACCCTTTTAGCTCATTTGTGCCATCATTTGTTATCAAGTTTAGAAGCAACTGACTTCTTGGTTTTTGCAGGACCAAAGTTATCAGAGTCTGCTAGAATTTTCACCATAATAAACAATTGCAAGGAGACAGTCTGGCCTGCAGTGACCCCAGGAGAGAGCTTTAATGGTGGTGGTTTTATGCTAAAACCGGGCCAGTCAGTCATATTCACTGCCCCAGTCAGCTGGTCTGGCAGGATATGGGGTCGAACGGGCTGCAACTTCGACAACAAAAATGGCAACACTTCATGCCAGACCGGAGACTGTGGCGGCACCCTCAAGTGTGGAGCTTCAGGAAAGACGCCAGCAACACTTGCCGAATTCACATTGGCAGCTCCAGACTTTTATGATGTTAGCCTTGTTGATGGGTTCAACTTGCCAATGGTTGTGACACCTCTGAATGGTACGGGAAATTGCAGTGTTTCGGGTTGCGATGGGGACCTGAGGTCCAGTTGCCCATCTGTGCTCTCTGTCAAAGCAAATGGGAAGACTGTTGGATGCAGGAGCGCCTGTGATGTGTTCAACACTGATGAGTATTGTTGCAGAGGGGTTTTTGGCAACCCTGTTACATGCAAACCCACATATTATTCCAAGATGTTCAAAGAAGCATGCCCTACTGCCTATAGTTATGCTTATGATGATCCAACCAGTATTTTTACTTGCTCTGGCACAGATTATGTGGTTGCATTCTGCTCAAACAGGTTTGTTCATGAACCCATTTTAGACACTAAAGC